CTGCTGTTTAGTTTCCTGTCTTCATTTATGTTGGAAGTGATAGCAGAGCTGTACGTTTGAATCTTTCCAGAAATCTCTCAGTCAGAACATGCTATATCATGCTTAGGTAACTAGCGAAACTAGCGAGCTAACTTCCGCCATCTTCCTGCTAGCTTCTAACTCCGTTAAATGTAATAAATCCTGTTTTCATGGATGCCTGGATGTTAAACTTCATAGTTACACCTGGTAAAGCAGCAACGCTGATCGTTTTATTAAAGATGAAAGAATTTAGTCAGTTTTTAACTCTCAGTGATGTTCGTTTGACTTTGGGACCTGAAGTGGACGGAGTTCAGGACCCAGATTACTCCCAGATTTACGAGCACCTTAGTGCGACAAATACGACAATAACGACAGCCCGCCTGCATGTTCTACAAAAAAAACAAAACACTGTGCTTTGTTGTGTATCTGCCGGACAAACACCAAACCAGTTCCAAGTGGCACCATTTTTACAAACCAATTCTGGTTCATCCGTTTCACTCAATCCGCCATGCTTTTTCGGCCATGTGCGTATGACAACAAAGGCACTGCACATGCGCGTTTTACCCAAATTCTATCGCGATATTTCATTTTCTCATCGTTGCCTAACATTGTACCGGTATTACCGTAAACGGTATAATATGGCTCAGCCCTATAGAGAATTAAAGGATTCTTCTACTTGATTTATCGATGGAACCGAGGACAGATTACTCTATTACTAAAACCTTCGATAGCTGCAGCCCCAACCTAATCCACCACGAACCCCCCTCTGCACCACACCACGAGGATCCATGTGTTGTGTGGAAGCTCAGCTCCAAACTGTATCTACCAGTAAAACTATTACTATACAAAGGCGTACACACTGATCACTTCTTCAGTTCAGGTCCGGACAGTTTCCTCATTCAAAACTCTCTCTGTGCGTACAAATGTCTGCCACATGCAACATTTCTCTGTGCACCAACTGCCTGTTATGCACAGATCAAATGGCAGCGTGGGGAGACAGATTTCATGCTGCCAGCTTCACACACATCCACAAATGTAAGATGCATTCAAGACCCAGTGTAAAACTGGGACATCTGGGCTTCTTCTAAACGAACAGAATGACCAAAGGACAGATTTATGGTTACAGACACCACACAGTACCCTGTGAAGGTTAGCTTATGGTTTAAATAAGCTGCTGCTACACGCTAACATGTTCAGGGTTAGTCATTAAGCTAATATTAGTGTTAGCCTGCTGTTATTAGATAACAGTAAGATTCGAATCAAATATCTTTTACAGTGTCTGAAACTGGTAACAAGCACAACAACAACGATGTCCACCTTTTTTGTGGAATCCATGTCACATATCAATTTCACCACGGGACGCTCAGCCACGTTGCTATGACGACAACCACACACGTTAGTAGAACCAGATTGTAACGGAAAACAAGTCGATCCGAGTCGAGTCACGGCGATCTGTGGTGAATCGATCCAAATAGGAACTTAAAAGCTTTAGAAGAAGCCCAGAACTGGGACAAGAACACAGCTTACATTTGTGGATCTGTGTGAAGCTGGCAGCATGAAATTTGTCTCAGAATCCGACGCAGGCATGTGATCTGTGCGGATCAGCCGACTGGTGCACTCATATTTTAGGGTTTGTAAGTGATGGAGAGGAATGTTGCATGCAGTAGACAGCTGGATGCAGAGAAAGACAAACGCATCCCATTTGTGAAGCTGAACTTCCTAAACTGTGCGTAAATGATCAGCATATTCGGTTGTTCAGTGATGACGCGACGAATCCTACTTCCGGGCCTAAAGTAGTCTG